TTAGTGTCTCATCTCACTGTGGTGTGATCAGATTGGACACAATTGCTGCACTGTGTCTCCAGTGTTTTCCCCCGTAGCACTATGGGTCAGGGAGGGATGTCGTGTCTCCTGGTGGGGCTGGCTCTATGGTCCTCTAGGCATCGGCTACTCTGAGCAGGAATATCATCCCCAGGGCTTGGTGGGCCAGGATGTGCTCCACTCTTTCCCTTCCCCTTCATTTGCTCCTGAGTGCACTGATCAGACATGTCCCTCTCCCTGAGCTGTACTTTCAGTGCTGTCCTCTGATGTGAATTCTTCTGACGGGGGTGGGAGGTGGGGGTGGGGGGCTTGTCCACATATTTGGGATTGGAGTCAGCCCCTCAGATGTCTCTCCTGATTCTGTTTCATGCTGGTAGGGATCTTAATGGCTTATGTTCAAGCAAGAAGCTATCTAAGTGAGGGTTGAACTGAGTTCACATGGAAGAGGCACACCAGCCTCTGTGACACAAAGGTGACAATAACAAAATCCACATATGACACAGGGAAAAGTATCAGAGCCTAAATTGTGATCACCCAATTTGTAGAAGGCTATGGGGGAGGACAGTGGGAGCCCAAAATCCATCTGCAGACTATCTAGTCAGATTAAGCCTCTGGGAGATCCTCTCTGGCCACAGGTAAGGGACTTGAAAAGCTTTACTATCAGACAGATTATTGTAAACTTTATTATGGTAGATCGAACCATGGTATAATATGATACTTTTGTCAGTTGACCTCCCTATTGACCTAATCTGAATACTGATTTCTTTTACCTGTGGTTATTGATACAATTAATATGTGATAGAAATGATTCTGGGAAGTATGAATGCAGTGTTCGTAAGCCCACTGCTTTCAGTCTTTAAATTGGTTCTGTTAAGTGGATTAGAAAGAAATGCCTGCAAAGAAGCCTTTAAAAAGGTAAGCCCCACCCAGTGCCATGAGTGCTCAGGATACCCAAATTCAGGAGGAGGGGCAGGGAGATAAAGATATGAAGTGGCTGGCTTACAAACTTTCATAGGTGAGGAAATATGTTTATAGGATTATGGTGTAGAAGTTCACATTACTGAAATTGTTAGACATAGAATATTTTTGGTTTGTTCAATTATAGCAGGGGTGTCAATCTCAATTAAAATGCGGGCCATTTGGTTTAACAGGCAAGATTGATGTGGGCCATATCTCATTCACAAATTTTGTTAAATTTATATTTTGAAGTGAGGATTCAGGAAT